GTGCGGCCCTGGGTCACCCGCACGCGCTGGCGGAGCAGCAGCTCGGGTGACCCCCGGCCAGGCTCGCAGTGCTGCTCGGGGTAAGGGTGGACCCTGCAGGGTAGACGGCATTGGGCATGAGCAAGGTGGCTGCTGCGGGGTCCGGCTGTGCCGGCGTGTCCCCAGATCGCGGGGAGAGCTCACCTGGAGCCACGGCAGCAGTTCAGCTGGCCCATCCCGCTGAGGACACGAGAGGCCTCGCTTTGCACACTCTGGTGGGGCTCAGGGCCGTGCTCTGACAGCCCGAGAGAGTCTTCCGAGGGGTCCTGATGCTCTGCAGTGCTGCTGGGCGAGACCCCACTACGACTCTGTGCTGGCAGAGCACCGTCCTGGCAGGTACTGGGGCCGTTGCCAGGCCAGCACCGGGTCAACACAGAGCGGGGCATTGTGACCTCATCGGTCGTGCTGGGGGTGCTGGGGGTGTGGGGCACTGAGGGGCTTTCCCCAGGGTGCCCGTGTCTCTCTCGTCCAGGGAGGCCAGGCCTGGGCACAGCACTGCAGGCATGGCCTCAGCAGCGCTGAGCAGAGGGAAGGGTCACCTCCCTCCAGCTGACATCAAGGCTTTGCCCAGTGCTGCCCAGGGTGACACTCGCGCTGCCTTTGGGCAAGGGCACCTTACTGTCTCCTTGTCAACTTGGTGTCCACTGGGACCCCCAGGGCCTTTTCGGTTGTGTTGCTTTCCAGTAGCTTTGCCAACCTGCTTTTTGTCATGGGTATGTGTGGATGTGTCCCTGGATGCTTTGTGTCTATACCAGTGACATTCATAGTCTGTCCCACTCTCTTTTCATAGGTCTCTCTCTGCCATTGCTGAAAGGGCATGGGTCCTCCAACCAAAGCAGTGGTCCAAGTGGAAATGCTCTCTCTTGCTATGGGACAGGATAACGAGGATGCACTCCAGTGACAGAGTGCAGAGACAGACTTTCCACAGAACTTTTTTCCTTAACTCCATCTTAGACTTGTGTTCACCTGCACATATGCAATGTGTGCACATAGTTATTGTGAAGTCTAGATGGCAGGTTCAGTGGAATTTAGACTAGAGCTTAAAGAAAGTTGTTCTCATGAAGACCAGATTTCAAAGACTTCCTCAACAGTATATGCTTATAAAGTATTAAGGTGTGCAAGGATGTAAGAATGAATAACACAGAGGTATGCTGGTGCTGTTAAAGCTGAGCATGGATTTAATTGACCTGGAAGCCAGGTGTGGGTTTGTAGCAGGTGTTAGTTCTGGTCTATTCCCATTGAAAATGTGGCTACCAGGACAGACAAGAGTTGTTATTAACTCAATAATATTATAAGTTAGCCATTCCATGTTTAAGTCCTCTACATGTTAAGCAAATGAAAAATGTTCTGGAGATTGACCATTGTTGTGACTGTTGACCAATGTCCTGTGTTACGATAAATATGTTGGGCTCAAAGACTAACAAGCCTCACATGCATTGAGAACATGAGAATGGTGATTCTGGGTCAGAGAAAGGATCTGGGCTTTTTTCTAATGCTGTCCTTTCCACTGCCCAGTACTCTGCCCATATGTTTACGGGCATACCCACAACCAGTCCAGGCTGTTTTCCAAGGAGCTGATCACTACATATATGAGAGACAGTGGACAAAACCTAGTTCTTCATATTCTTGCTATTGTCTTACTAGAGAATATGAAGTTCTAGATAACTTTTTTTTGCTTATACTTACATTGGCACTTCACTGGGTCTAGACTAAATGGAAATTCTCTACCTGACTGCAGCAAAAGTTGGGCAGAGACCTCAGTAGCTAGCCATGGGTTAATTTTGGTTTTGAAATACAGCAAACTGTTGTGGAATAGAAAACTGAGACAGCTAGGGACATTGGCTGTATTTTCTGAAAGGAGGTGGAAAATTTTCTGAGGGAAATTTTTTCATAGCATTATTCTGAAAGTCAGAAGAGTGGCACATGAGAGGCAAGTATCTTTGTTCAACTAAAGTAGTGGAGGATGCACTGGTTTTGTTGCTAAGTTAGAGCAATAGCAGCTACTGCTCTATGCAAATGTGTTTTTAGGGTTAGCTGCCATTATTGTCTGAAGTGACATGTTTATAAAATGTCTTTACATGAATAATCAGCTCACACAGCAAAGCTGCAGCCACCCGACAGCACAATTTTTTTCCCACTTTGGAGTTTTTTTTTAGCTGTCACTGTTAGTTTATTCCCTGTATGACAAAGAAGTAGTAAATAAAGGTGTTTTCATATATTGAAACAATCTGCATGTTTATATTTTTTTACAGCTGTTGCAAAGATGCAATTGAAACCCTGAAGAGCTTTTGCTCTTTATACTACTGAAAGCCAAGCTAAACAGCTTTTTGCAAATTTCCAGTTTGGAGAACTGCGGAGTAATGTGCAAAGTGCAAAAACATTTAGAACCGTAACACTGTCTGACCACAACAAAGTTCAGTTACAATACAATCTGATATTAACACAATTTATTTTTATATTTAATTTACTGAATAACATATTTAGCCATAACTTGAGATTTGGATAACATATCATATAGGTCTTATTACAGGCAGTGAGCCAGCAAGGCCTCCTGCGAGGGCCGGGATGGCTCTGAGGGTGGTGCGGGGCCGCTGCGGCTCAGCAGTGCGTGACTTCAATCTGCTGGCCAGAGCAGAGGGGCACGGCGCCTCTCTCCTCGCCTCCGCTGAGGTGGTGCTGTGCCCGTGTCGTGTCCGTGGAAGCTGTGGCATCAGAACTCATTGGGGAATCCAAGCTGCAAAAACAGATGGGCACCTACAAGGGCAGAGTCAGAAAGCGCTGGTGAAACCATGAGGGCAGGAACAGGTGTGACTTTGTTGCCTGTTCTTTGGGGAGTCCGAGGAAAAAAGGGTTGATCCTGGCTCCGGAGAGAGAACCCTTACTGGCAGTGACTCTGGCGTTGCTTTGGCCCCTTCTCAATGCCTGCAATGCCCTCAGGGTACGGCAGGTTGACAGAGGTGTACAGTGCCCCCTTGCCAGGCAGTAGGGCTCAGCAGGGAGCCCCTGGGGAGCTGGGATGGGGTCCTTTCCCAAAACCTGAGCAGCAGCAGCAGCCCTCACCGTCCCATGCTAAAATGGCAGGTTGGCAGGCAAACCATGCTCTGTGTTGATTTTTTATTGTTTGGGTTCTTTGTTTCTTCCCCCAGTTTCCTCGAGTGAAATGTTGGTTTTTCAGAAGTGCCAGTATCTCTCTGTCTATAGCTCTTTGGAACAACCCCTTACTGTGTCTTTAGGATTCAGGCTGCACCAGCCAGTGTTAGGATTGCCAGCTGGCATGAACAGAGAAGAGGGACTTTTCTGTAGGGAGAGGGTCAAAGAGCTCAAAATGGTGAGTCTTGTGACCTTGCCGGGGTGTCTGCTCAGCCTTGCACAAACAAGCTTCAGCAAGTGCAAAAGGAACGCTGCCAATGCTGGAGCGGAATGTTTCCCCAGACCTACACGTTCTCCCAAGGGCAGGTGCGTGCTTCCTGTCTGGGGCCATCTCTGAGCACCTCGGGAAGTCCTCCTGTATTCAGAGCAGTGTTCAGAGCCTTTGGAAGATGGACAAGAGGGTCTGCTACGCCCCTGGGCTCCTCGTTCATCTTACCTGCTCAGATTCCCTCAGTTGCCCGTCCCTGAGAGCTTCGGCTCCAGCTTCCTCCTCTTCCTGCCCATCGCTCCCCTCTTCACAGCTGCCTTTTCTCTTTCTACTCCCTTGAGAAGAGCCTGGCAACCTTTCCATGCAATAGGATGGTTAGACAGGTAAAGCCATGATAAACATGAAACCATTCTACTCTTCACCAAGGCTAGCCCATGTTACCTTCTCTCCCCAGACGAGCTCTTCAGGTGTTGGCTTTCTGGGGCGACTGGAGGCACCTGCAGTGGAAAGGAGGAAGGTCACAGGTGGCAAGGACCTACCTGCTCAGTTGCTACCTGAGCTCTGAAAGGCAGATCCCTTGGATGGGTTTGCGCAGCCCAGCTGAGCCAGTTCTGGAGGCATCACCGCCAAAGTGCAAGTCGGCCTTACTCTGCGCTCTTGCAGACCTGCAGGTTGGTGGATGATCTTACTTGTCCCTGTGGTGGCAGCGGTCCCCCTTCTGAGGGGGGAGGCTTTGGTTGTCACGCTGTTTGTGGCCCTGACATACCTCTGCTGCCGCTGCTCCCAGCTCCGGTGCCGGTGACTCCTCATCCGATGTGCCGGCAAGCCCAGCCACCTCCTCCGCGAAGAGTTCCTCGTGGTGCTCGATGAGGAACTCCACCAGCTGCGTCACCTGCACACAGCAAAACACTGGTGTCCACCTAGGTGCGACAGCCTTTCCCACTGCTGAGCCTGGCTTCTGCGCAGCTGTGGGGCTGCTCTTGCCGGCAG